ACTGTCTCCCATTATAATGTACAGCACTGAGCAAACTGTTGGCGCTATATAAATCCTGTATAATAATAACTTATTGAAATGAAAAGGTGTGAAAGCACCTTTAATATAAAATGTTTGGTGATGCCAATGTCTACCCATAAATTAAATGTCACTTTGAGTAGACTGATCCATTAAGAAAACAACACAGCTATACTACACTATGTACTATGCAGTAAACATCATAAACATCTGCTATACTTCAGACATGCATATACAGTATACTATATATATGTAGATATGTAGCGAGAGCTGAGATGAAAAATCAAAGCTGCTAGCACAAGAGACAGTGACGACAAATCTCACAACAGAATATACATATAAAGTGCAGCGCTGAATATTAAAGCGGAGTTCCACTCACACTGTCAAAAAATAAAAGTTAGCAGCTACAAAAACTGTAGCTGCAGACTTTTAAAAAACAGCCACTTACCTGTCCCATGATCCCGTGGTGGGTCCCCTGCAGCCTGTTTCACCGACCGTCCTGTATTCCAGGAGACCGGCATCTTCAGTGTGGGCACCCGGCTGTGACAGCTTGCGGCTTCACAGCCGGGTACCCACTGCGCATGCACGAGTAGCGCTGCGCTTCATGGATGGTCCTGTAGTCTTCTGGGACCTGTCATGTGTTCCAAAAGACTACAGGGAGGGGGAGGGAGGAGGGAGGACACCATCCTCTTCCAATCGCCTAGGCGATCTAACCTGAAGTAGGAGCGGGTACCTGTCAAATTCGGGTACCCGCTCCCCCCCCCCTGCCCTCCACAGGTCCCAATCCTTAATGGGGAGCGGGGGAGCAGTCCTTAAAGTGGAATTTCCCCTTTTGGGTGGAGCTCCGCTTTAAATAACTGAAAGTAAAATATATCACCAGTGCAAATTGGATAATATAAATTTGTCAATCAAACACATATGTAGGCTCTCGGCCTGGAATCAGACAAGTCCTGTCTGGAGAGCTGAAGTTCTCTGAGCTGATTCCAAGTCTCTATTTGAGGGATCAATATCAATGCTACTGTACCAGTAGCTTTCTGGTGAGTGCATAGTGGTGGTGAACTGTTTCACTGGATTTCACAGCACCTGCTTGGAATTGAACACGATACTTCTGTGTCTTGTAGTGCCACGGACACATTGCTTGTTTACCCACATTGACTTTTTTTTGTCCCTCTGATATTTTTTTTTGGATGGATTTATATTTGTTCATCACACCACTTAGTTATATATTGACAATTTCTGCATATATGTTTGATTGAGAAATTTATATTATTCAGTTTGCACTGGTGATATATTTTACCTTCAATTATTTAATATTCAGCACTGCACTTTATATGTATATAGTATACTATATATATATATTTTTTTTTTTATTATGAATGTAATAAAGATAACATAACATCAAAGCAAATGGTGTTTCTGTATTATTAGTATGTTTACACTGAGCTAATGAAGAAAGAACTGAAAATATGTAGGTGACAACTTATTACCCTCATATCACTTAACTTAGTGCTTTTCTCATATTGTAGGGTAGAAAACACTGGTGGTACACACTTTTGGTGTAAATGGCACTCAGCTGGTCCCAAGGTTTACAAAAACCTTGTGGGGGAACTCTTCTAGAAGCTACCTGAGGAGGTCAGAGAAGCAATCATTGCCTCTAGCCAAATAACCTTACCTTTTATGTTTCATTCATGTGCGAAACAGCATTGTTGATATAAATAACAGTATTTATGAACTGTAGCAGTGGCATTGCAGTAAAATGGAAATATTTCTGCCACTTTTGATGCTGCCACGGCTTAGATTACAAACTGGAAGTGGAGTGCTTCAAAGACACCATCACTGCTTCACCCCTAAATCTGCCCACACAGGCTGACACCATAATACCTCCCTGAACATTTGGAGAGTGGAACTTCACCTGGTGTCATGTTATATCACATCACTGATTTGAACCTCTGCAGCAATCCCTTTCTCAACTACATCCTTTGAAAAAGACTGCAGGAGAGCATGATCACATAACCTGGCTTTAGAAAATTATTTTAAGGCACTTTCACACTTTTGTAAGTGGAGGGCTTGATGCATGTACTAGTAGTTTCACTGAAGAACTTGGTACTTTGAACTATTCTTTACTCGCAGACTAAATGTGTTTTTGAGGGTTTGACGTCCATTTTGGAGAGGGCAATGAGCACTAAGTAAGTATTAGGCACAGACTCCCTCAAAGAACAAAGTCATTGTGTCAGTGGAGAAGTTCCTCGTCAAGACTGCACCATAATTGCCTTGTGTTCTAACAGTCTAGGCAGTTGATATATGTGTTCTTCACAGACTATAAAGGTTTTGATGATGTCGTTGATTATGATGCATGACCAGTCAAGGTTTACCCTTTTAATCATTACATATCATCAAGAAATCTAAATCTCTTTTTGTTATGCAGCACTCTGAGGACCTAAACTGGGTGTACACATCCTGGACAGATTTCAGACCTATAATTCTATAAAACCCTGGTTCAGCCACATCTTGAGTATGCTGCTCAGTTCTAGTCACCAACACTCAGGAAGGATATCCTTGAACTGGAGAGAGCCCAGAAAAGGGCAACAAAGCTAAAAAGGTTGCTGGAGGACCTCAATTAAGAGGAAGGACTACAGACATTTAACATATTCTGTATAGAGAAGTGATGCCTAAGAGGGGATATGAAAGCAATATACAAATTTTTGAGTGGTGACTCTAGCATTGAAAGGGGACTTTTTAATCTTAGGTCTCTAAAAAAGACACGTGGCCACAAACTGAAGTTGGATGAAAAAAAGTTAAATCCTGAACTGCATAAGGGGTTCCTTACTGTTAGGGTGGTAAGGATGTAGAACTTCCTACCACTGTTAGTGGTTTCAGAAGTTAGATGCGTTTCTTAGCGAACACAATGTACAGGGATATGGAGAACAGTAGTCACACACACATACACACTCTCAGGTTGAACTGGATAGACCAGTGTCTTTATTTAACCTTACCAACCATGTACCCTGTATTGAATGCATTATATTGATGCACTTCCCCAGTCACCATCCTTATCTTTGTACATGTAATGAATAAAAAGAATGAAACAATTAAAAATGCTACACTACCAGTTGAAGTTGTCTGAGGACTGGCTCATAATAACCAGCCTAATGCATGGAGTTTTCATCTGATAGCACCCCAGGATGTAGCTTTTACTCCACTAACACCCAAACTGCAGTTGTCTGTTGAAACTGCAGCAATCGTCTGCATTTCTGCGTGCTTTGTTTTAACAGCCCATTCATTTCAAAGGGCTGCCAAACACATGGGAACAAGCAAAGTAAGGCAGTAATGCGGTACCATGCGGCTGCATTTGCTACATGTGTTCGGGGTGCCATTAACAATAAATAGCACCCGCACGTGTCTAGCTAGGGCAGTGCATTCCCATGCAGTGTGGGAAATGCACATGGAAACCCGCCTTTCTCACACTGCGAATGGGCCCTAACTGCATATACAGTTACTGCAAAACAAATGTGTATTATTTGGATAGGAAAGGAGAGAATTTTAAAATGTTTTAACACAATGTTTCTCCCAGATGCCACTATACTATTAAACTATACTATTAAAGCTTGTCAAATCATGAAGGGGCAATCACCTTGATGTTTTAAAATTTGCCAGAGGGCAATTAGCACGGTTGTCCAAGGGCAGCTCAGAGTCAATTCTAGAGCCCAAACACACTTAGCAAATCTACATGAATACATTCCAGACCTGTCAAAATATATAGCAACAGCATGATAAAAAATTATACCTTTCAGCATTAAAGAGCAACCCTGGATAGTTTTGACCAGAGTGAGTGGAAAAAAAAATCAAAGCTCAAGGATAGAAATTTTTTTTGTCAAATCCAAAGGAAATGAACAAATTTCTCATTGATTTCACTCCCAGCCGAGAAATATCGGAACCATTCTTATGTGCATGCGTGCACTTGTCAAAGTTAATCCTGGAGAAGAACGTTCATTCTAGGAAAATCAAGACATTGACATAGTATGTGCAAGAAATGTTGTCTGAAATGAGTCGAGTCCATGAAGTAACCATCAAATGGTCGGATGACTTATTTTTATACTTTTTGTCCGAATGAAATTCTAAAGGTGTAAGGCTAGCATTTGTTCAAGAAGTAGATGCTGATCTTAGGCAATGCCAGGTGGTAATATCTTTCTGGTGGGAAAAGTAGATAAAAGCATTTTTATGGGGAGTTCTGTGTCCTCTGACAGAGATAACAAATTCCCCAACACTCCTGAACTTTTCATGTCCCACTTTTGGTCACATTGATACATTTGCAAACTAAAAGTTCCCCAACCTGAATAATCTAAATCATCCACTATTTTTGCATATAAGATATTTTGTCAGCTGTGATGCTCGCAATGGAGCTACTCATTACCTCAGAATTTATCTGCAGGGGAACTGGTGACTCCTGATAATCATGAAATGCTGGGCCTAAATCATCTAAGAGGTTTCCATCTTATTTAGAAATCTTTATTAAAATAATGCTAACATCAGTTAAGAAAATGCATTAAAGTGTTACTAAACCCACAACAGTAAATCAATCTGTATATGCAGTAAAGCATGCTTGCTATACTCACTGTGGAACCTAAGGGGTTAATCCTCTGCGTTATGTAAAAAGGCTGTTTGATCCTGTTTTCTCTGATCCTCCCCTTATTTTACTGGCCCCAATCCATCTGCTGATAGTACAGAGCCCTAGGAGACACTCTGCACATGTTCAGTTTGGTGTGTATTGCTAGAGTTTTTTCTTCTTTGAGAGGCTGCATGTGATCAGCACAGGGCCAATCAACACTGTCCAGACAAGAGGGTCAGGGGTCATGCAGCCTCATAGGACAGTCATCAAAGCAGAATGAAAACTCCTGCTACAGGATTAACCGGTGCTCAGCCGGAAACTAAAAGTCACAAGACTGCTATATACTGCTGATAAGAAAAGGTATATAAGAGTTTACATTTACTAAAATAATTGCATTTCCATGTTCTGTGTACTGTGGGAGACCAGATATAGTGAATGCAGGGTCCTGGGTTTAGTAACACTTTAAGGACTATTATGGCAGTGAAGTTTAGTGTCCTTTCTTGTTTTATATAACATTTTTTAGTTTAACAAGTGTAATCTCACTTGTAGACACTTGATATTATTTTGAAAGAACTGTTTTATAAACCTGCATAATGTAAAAGAGGAGAAAAGCAATTGTTTTCACAGCTATCTCACAATTAACGGATCCATCCAAACTGTGTGAAGTCATTTCTAAGTAATTGCACTGATGTGTTTTTCCATTGCTACAGCAGATCTTATTTTGTGACGGCTTCCAGAGTTTTGTGTATTCCAGTTATCAACAGCATTGTAGATTCCAGTGACTTGTGGCATTGTAAAATCCAGCTAACTGCTAAAAAATTCAATATAAAACTAAATATATTTAGATTATGAGCTACAAAACAAGTAAAGGAGTTGCACGTATTATTAATACACAGCCTTCATTATTATATACATTAACATGAATACAAATTTCTCATTGGTTGCTCAGATTCCAAGCAGCAGGAATTTAGAAGCTAAATTTGACCTAGCTAAGAATTCACCAATGGAACAAAAGCTCTTATACTGAATCTCATCTGGCCTAGTAAGTTTGTAAGTGCGAAGGTGTTTGCAAGTACTTGTGTTGGCGGAATGATTCCTATGTACCCTGCATACTAGGCAAAGGTTGTATGTGGGATCTCAACTTCCAAATCTAGGAAAAACCTCCCACTTCAGTGCTAAGCCCCACCCCCTGTCACTCAACTGTCAAATGCCTGAGACTCTATTGTCCCATCTTCCAGCATGCAGCAGTTGATGTAGATTGAAAGGGGTGGAGTTTGTGAAGAAGCTGAGACCCCATATATAGACTGGGCCTAGGATCAAAAGGACATGGGAATGGTTTGAAGACTACAACAAGCACTTGTAGGCACCATAAGGAGCCTTCACTTCAGCACCTTTGTTACTCTACAAACATTTTAAGACAGGTAAAGTTTAATTCAGGTATTATTGTAAGGCTCACTTTAAGCTCCACCTCCTAAAGTGGAACTTCACTCTCTTAATCAACACTCACTATTTTTAATCCTTATGCTGCTAGAATTAGTAAATAGATAGGAACTTAAATCATTTATTTGTTTTAAGCTATTTTTTTTTACAATATTTCTTTATTAAGTTCCTGGTTTCTTGCCTAGGCAAATTATGTCATACATCCCAGGATGGGGAGCAGGGGTTTTCTCAGCTAAGCATGCCTTCCTGCTTTTATGCCTGAACTAAGGGCAGATGGATTCCAGAAAGTCAATGCTACAGGAATAATGTGCCCCTACTGAAGATGGCCTCGCCCAGAAATGCTAGGGGGTGTTTTTCAAAGTGATTTCTCAGCAAAATAAAGCATGTAGACATGGATGGATGGGGAAGTTTTCTTTGAATATTTAAAATGAACTAAATAGCATTTTTTGCTCTGTTGTGCTCAGATGCAGTGTAGTTCCGCTTTAACGTGTATGTAAACTCTAGCTCTAACAATTGCTCTTATTTGTTCCTTTTTGGTCTGTTAAGTAAACCATTGAAAGCATATTATTATTATTGTTATTATACAGTATTTATGTAGCGCTAAAAGGTTTGCTCAGCGCTGTACATTATAGTAGAGGACAGAACATGAGACAATACAGTACAAAACACGAGGGGGTCAAGCACCCTGCTCTTTCGAGCTTACAATCTAGGAATCAGTTCGACAAGTGCAAAAGAATAGATGTTTGTCTAGTCAGAAATCTTGTGAGCTGATAATTCTTCTGTCTCTACGCTGCTATCAGTTAGCCTATCTCGGTGGACTACAAAACACCTCCCACTGTAATGTAAAAGAGATGGGGGTTTTAGGTAGTCCTAAGGGTGACAAAATTGCTCAGTACAATTGTGACCCTAGGACAAGAACTGAGTTAAAGGCAGGATTACAGGTTAAAATAAAGAATAAAATGTGGAAAAAAGGAAAGTTAATGCAACCACCACATCTATGGACCAGTAAGCTTCTATTTTTTGTTCTTAGGTTTATATACATTTTAATGGATTTGAAAACTAACACAGGTGCTTGCGGGCACCACAAGGTGCATGGACTTTAGCATTGTTGTTATCTAACAATTGCTTAGGTGGGTTTAAGTAAGATTTACTTCAAGCCTAGTACACGATCAAAAAATCGTATGAAAAATACCGCTTTCTAAGCGATCGTACAATAATCTGATCATTAGTACACAGCTTTCGGCTGAGATTATTTGAAGGGACAAGCCAGAACATTTTTCTCGTAGATCGTTCGATTTTCGTTTAATCAGTACAGTTTTCCTCCGAAAATACAATACAAATACATTACATTACTTCCGAATTTTCATTCCGAGAATTTTCTTTCTACAAGAACTTTTGTAACTTTAGTAACCTCTTCACTTTTGATATGAGAGCAGTATGCAAAAAAAAAAAGCGGACGATCATTTGTCCAGTATTTTCATCATGTATACGGGGCTTCAGGTGAATTAATCGTTCATTCAGGCTCCGAACCCCACCCTCTGCTTTTCAGTGGGGGCTTTAGAGTTCAGGGAGTTAACAGTTTAGTACAAATGTAGTTTTACCACCAAGAAAGCTCAGGGGCTTAATCTTCACTTGGACAGAAGATGTCAACTTTGGCCAAGATCTATTCTAAGGGGTTCCAAATAGAAATAGGCTTCCACTAATTCAGGGAAATTGTAGGGAAGGTTGGGTTCACCCTACTAATATTATACTGACTAGTGCCCCTTTTCCTTTACTTTTGAACCATATCATGCTACAACACCATTGGTGCCTCCGTCTGTTTGACGAATATTCATAATTCCCCATGTCTGTTGGTATTTCCACAGTGACTGGACAAGTTCCATGTCTCTACCTTGGACTTGTAGTTCCTCAAATATGCCTGTATACATGGGTAAGATCAAATAGATTTTTAATTGATCTCCTCTACTAAACCCGACATTCACAGAACATTCCGGGCACCAGATCCTGCAGAGTATAGCATAGTTCTATTCATTTATGGCATGTTTACAATACAGCCACTATTGTAAATAGCAGTCAGCATGCAGTACGCGAATGGTCCTTGTGCACGTACCACACCATACTGCTCCCTTCTTCAGAAAGAGAATAGGAAATACATGTCAAGAGAGCAGTATAGCCTATAAACAAAATCCCTGTCTGATATGTTACAGACACAGGATTCAGAGGAGAAAAGTAAACCATCTGTGTTCAGCCAGCAAACATGGCTGCGGCGATATCTGACTCTGCACAGCTTGAATTTACTGTAAAACAAAATACGTGCAGCATGTGTTTTCAGAGGCCCACGTGTAAATTGGGTGCTTTTAACTAACCTACCATAAAGTTTTCAAGTTCTTTTTTTTTCAGATGTAAAAAAAAAAAATAATTATAACAATTTTAAAATGCAGGATTTTAGTGGAGAATTGTTTGGTTCCAATTGGCCTCCCCACCATAACCTGATTATCTCGTTGCTCCTTCAAACCTGCTGCCTAGAAGTCATGGTACCCTTAGATCTTGCAATGACAGGGCTGAAAATCCATAAGCAGCCGCATACAAGTTGGATACATTTAGGGCCCTCACAGTGGTGCATTTTTGCTGCTACTAAAAAAAAATGCAAGAAAACCGCAAGAAAAATGTTGCCCTTTAAATTCTATGGGACTCTTCACACCACTGCGCTGTGAGTGTGATGCGTTTTGAAAAGTCCTGCTTGCTGCATCTTTGATCTACTTTTCAAAGCTGCACCAAAAAAATAAATCCCCATTGAAATGAAGAGAAAATGCCTAAAAAATGAATCAAAAGTGCATCAAAAAACCACTGCGGTTGCATTTGTGAAGTAACATATTCATGTTCTTCAAATATATTAATAGTAAAAAGGTCTGGTCCGAGCATGTAGGCCCTTTACAAAATAATCTAGAGTGGGTGACTGGGGACAAAGAGAAGGCAGATTTGTTAAATACCTTTTTCAGCTCTGTGTATACAAAGGAGCATGGGGGAGCTCTTGTCCATAATGGGCATGGTATTGACACAGCTCCAGATGATCTACATTGGATCACAATTGATATGATCCAGAAATATTTAGACAGAATAAAGCTGAATAAAGCACCTGGACCGGATGGCCTACACCCAAGGGTCATTAAAGAATTGAGCTCTGTCATTTCAAAGCCATTTTTAAAAATTTTTTAGGGACTCTTTAATGACCAGCATAGTACCACTGGATTGGCCTAAGGCCAATGTGGTGCCAATATTTAACAATGGATCAAAATCTTTACCAAGTACCGTATTTTTCGCTCCATAAGACGCACCTGACCATAAGACGCACCTAGGTTTTAGAGGCAGAAAACAGGAAAAAAAATATTCTAAACCAATGGACTGCAGACATAGTACAGGAGATGACCAGAGACTGCGGACACAGTACAGGAGATGACCAGAGACTGCAGACACAGTACAGGAGATGACCAGAGACTGCGGACATAGTACAGGAGATGATCAGAGACTGCGGACATAGTACAGGAGATGGTCAGACTGCGGACATAGTACAGGAGATGACCAGAGACTGCAGACATAGTACAAGAGATGACCAGAGACTGCGGACATAGTACAGGAGATGACCAGAGACTACGGACATAGTACAGGAGATGACCAGAGACTGCAGACATAGTACAGGAGATGACCAGAGACTGCGGACATAGTACAGGAGATGACCAGAGACTGCGGACATAGTACAGGAGATGACCAGAGACTGCAGACATAGTACAAGAAATGACCAGAGACTGTGGACATAGTACAGGAGATGACCAGAGACTGCGGACAGTACAGGAGATGACCAGAGACTGCGGACAGTACAGGAGATGACTGCTGACCTTTGGGAGGGGAGCAGGAACCTGAATTTGACAGGTACCCACTCTTACTTCCGCGGAGTTGTTTTTTGGTTAGTGTCCGCTCTGCAGTGGGACCTTACCTGTTCCTCTATCCAGCGCCGCGCTGTCTTCCGGGCTTCTGTAGTGTGGGCGCTCGGCTT